CAGACATTTCTAAAATTCTGTTTTCACTTTGTCATTATGGGGTACTGAGTATAGATTAATGGGAAAAAAATGAATTTGAATGATTGTAGTATCAGGCTGCAACATAACAAAATTGGAAAAAGTGGGGTACTGAGTATAGATTAATGGGAAAAAAATGAATTTGAATGATTGTAGTATCAGGCTGCAACATAACAAAATTGGAAAAAGTGGGGTACTGAGTATAGATTAATGGGAAAAAAATGAATTTGAATGATTGTAGTATCAGGCTGCAACATAACAAAATTGGAAAAAGTGAAGGGGGTCTGAATACTTTCTGAATACACTGTATACTGAGAACTGTCATACTGAGCCCAGAGCATTTAATTCTGAACTATTTTTACTTAAAAGTAAAACATGCTGGATTACATTTAGTTCCATGAACACATGCTTAGGACTACAACTATTGTATACCAGCTTCTCTCAAAGTGCTCAAATTAGCACTCAACCCAAACCTTTTATGTTATCAAAAAAACATACTTGGTCACATTCCCAAGGCATCAGAGGTTCAAGAATCAAATCAGAGACTGACAATCTTGTCTTCTTGGTGCTTTTAACAGCATAAAAAAATGCTGGTAAATGCAGATGCTGAACTATCAATTTCTTCAACTGTGGTATGTTAAGATTCTCAAGCATTTATTTTTATAAGTATTGTCACAGCAGGTGAAGTATGTACATTTAAACATTTATTTACCTCTAAATGCATCCCCAGCATTTGAATCTATTTGTCCTAAATTCTGCAGTATTAACAAAATGCAAGGGGCAGTTTTACTAAAACTTGTTTAAAGAGGCCTTTACTGAGGAAATTGTATACGAGTTAGGACTCATTTTAGTGCAATGAAAAGCAAAAACTTGAAAATAGTGGTTCTAGCCAACAGAGGACACAACTAAGATAAATATTATGACAGCATGCACATAAACCAAGTATGGTGCTTTATTTTTACTACTTTCTTCTGAGCGTATCATTTTTTAGGCTTAAAACATCTCTCAACATGGAAGTAGAACAACAAGTTCAACAATGATCCTGACATTCATTTTAATTCTCTAGGTTCCACTGAAAATAACACTCCCTAAATACAAAGGGAAACAACACTGTTCTGAGTTTGCTTCCTCTGTACGCTTAACTCACAATACACTCCACACTTGCGTAACCTTACAAGGGAATACTGCTATACTTATATGCATACTTTACATATCTACACTATACAGAACTTTGACACTATGATGGAACATATTTAAACCTTTGGTATCCAATAAATCTTCTGATCACTGAGGACAAATTAAGAATCCATTTATCCATCAAGACTTTTTTTTTACATTAAAAAATATGCAATGATATTTTTTCATGCCTCTCCTGCATTGTGGCAATCCATCTTGGATTGGAATACATAATGGGAATCAATATTATCAAAGCAGTATTGTGATTCAGAGGAACTTAAATATGGCCAACAAATTAGATACTGAGAAATTTACTTAACAGACTGATATTGGGGCAATGCATATGAAACTGATTTTAAAGTGTTGCAGTAAGAAAGCCACACCCATATTTAAAAATCTCTTCCTGGTTTCTAGTCGGCATGCTGAAAGTAAAACCTTGCAGCTTATAAACTTATAGCTCTTGCTATACTATGACTCACCAGGAACACACATCACAGCTCTCAAGCCTATATTCAGTGCCTTATGTAACTGGAGTCAAAGACCTCTGAAAGTTATAAATCGAATTATCCATTCAAACATGTTAAACAGTAAAAACTTACTACTATCTTAAGCTGCCTTCAGTCTTCTAAGACATGACTGTAGATTTTTGTTTTCAATTATACATATTGGAATTAGCTTCTACCAATAAACCCCAAAGATCTTTTCTTGCTTTATACTTAATACTGCAACAAAGACAATTTGCATTTGTATAGAATGACCATTTCACCTAGTTTATGGCACGGCTTATACAATAAAGCCTCTTATCCATCCCTGAACTCAACATGGTTGTTTGATTGTCATGTCTATGATTTCAACATTAGTCATATTTTACATTCAAAATATTGGCCCTAAAAATAAAAAAAAGTTGCTTTCTAGCAGTCAGCCTATATTTAGCCACAACAGCTTACAGGTCAAATATTTGGCTTCAGCTGCAAACAAGGAGGGTCCTAATCTTCTTTGGTCCACTTAGAAGTATACACATAATTATCTTCACTATAGTTCAGGTTCCATCTGATTTTTACGTTGTCTTAAAGAGGTCTTCTCTAATTTGTCAGATGTGAAATGATCTAAGTCATTTTCTTTCTCAGATCCTTCAACTGCTGAGTCATCTGATGAATTGGCCTGAGACTCATCTTCTCCCTCTTCTTCACCTTCTTCATCAGACAAACCCTTTTCTGGAGTTTTGTCCCCTGCTGAAAGCTCCAATGTTTGCTGTTGTTCTTCTATTTTATTCTCATCAGGATCTACTGGGTCTGAAGTAAAAGAATTGAGGAAAGAGGAGCTAGTACTTTTGTACAAGTGAAGCATCTTGTTAACTTACAATCTGCCAGCTTTTAGATCCAGCCCTTGTGATTCATTTCCCCAAACTCTTATCTCTGTTGAACTATTAAACAAAGTTTACAGACTATAAAGCCTGGATATATACAACAAGCTAGGCCAAAACAATTACATTATGATTCAGCATGGTGTCTGAACCCAGTGATTAGGCTATTTCTCAAACAGAGTTGAAATTAAGGGAATACCCAAAACAGATATTATTCACAATGGCATATTTCCATACTATTTGGAAATATGCTCTACTTCCATATAGAGCACACTGGACTATTGCCAAGTGCTCTGCATGGGGCTGCCCTTGTTCAGAAGCTGCAGGTGGTCCAGAATGCAGTGGCACGAGCACTAGTTGATGCATTTTGGTATGCCCATGCAACACCACTGCTGTGTGAGCTACCTTGGCTCCCAGATGCAATTCAAGGCACTGGTTGTCACCTTTAAGCCCTACATAGCATGGGGCCAGGTTACTTGTGTGACCACCTATTCCCAATAGTTTCCACCCATCCTACTAGATCTGGCAAGGTGGGCATGCTCCAGGTCCCCTCAGTGAAACAATGTTGCCTGGTGGGGCCTCGGAAGCATGGCTTCTCTGTCACGGTGCCTGCCTTATGGAACAGCCTCCCATTGGAGATACGGATGGCCCCCACCCTGTTGGTCTTTAGGAAAGCAGCGAAAACCTGGCTCTTCCCCCAGGGCACTGGAGCCAAGATGTTGATGTTGCTGGCATGGGACGGTTGGCAGATGAATGCGAGTTTTTATCAGGGCCTCAACTTCCTTTATTGTTTGTTTTAAATGGTCTTTTTCAGTGTACTGCGTTTTATTCTGTTTGCTGCCTAGTTCTTTCTGGGAGGCTATATACATTTGTTTAATAAATGAACATTATAAGCAGAGCGTTACTCTTCATTATATGTACATACCAAAACCTTCTTCTTTGGACTTAGATGGACAAATGCAGTCTATAAGCAAAACAAGTATCTGAAAGAAAGAAAAAAGAAAGTACTACAAAATTAAGCTATAGAATTTCAAATCTTATCAAACAGCCTAACACTACTCAAGTTTGAGCGGTCTATTATTATGCTGCCCTTCAGTGCTAAATATCCCCATTTTTCTACCGATGAGGGTCATGTCTTTGAATTCTTTTGTAACTATCCCATTCTCCCAGAGATCTGTATGGTCCCCATCCTGTCCCTATTTAAATGAGACCCTAAAATTTGGCTCTATTCCCAGGCCTTGGGTTAGTGTGGGTGAAGGACCCTTCAATGGAGTTTTGATTTTTTTTAATGATTCTTTCTTCCTGATTTTCAATTATTTCTGTATTTTATAATATTTTACTGTTGTGCTTTGTAAGCTGCCCAGAGTATGATCAGCCTAAGCAGTACTTTGCATTTAAAAAAAAAACAACCTTAAAATCTACTTAATGTCTTAGAAGAGCTACATAATCACCAAATAAGTGTGGTATACTGTGTGACACTAGTTCTTACAAATACAAATGGTCGAATACAAATGGTTGCATATGCAAACTCCATAGCAGCTATCATTTGACCAAGCTTTCTTCAAAGTTTTTCTCAAATTATGCAGTGCTAAATTTCTTAATGAAATTCTTTAGGAACTAAGAAATTAATTTCAATTCTTGTCCAGACAGATAGGCAAAAAATAAACTGCAACAAAAGGTGCAAAATATTCTCTCTTGCTTGTCTAGGATCAGCTATGGATTGAGGATAGCTTTGGATAAGAGGAAGTCTGCATCAAGCCAAGATGTCCTTCAAGAACAGCTAACTAGGAATCTCATAGAAGGGGAACGTATAGAAGAGCCTCAAACACCTTCCATTCTCTCAAACACCTTAAGGGGATTTGCCCTAATGAAAGAACTTTACTATTACATAGGTGTGAATGACAATATTAGTACAAACTTCCTTTTGGCTGCCCTTTCTGATCACCACTGACTTCCCCTTACGGCCATTTTGGTTCATGCTGTTGGACTGATGTGACACTGGGAGAGGAGCAGAAGCACTGCAGCACTGCTAAAGAAATCCACAGACCAAGACTTCCCTAAATGCTTTCTTTTGCAATCTTGATCTAACCAATGCTAAAGCACAGAAACCAGGACTTTTCAGAATCCTTAGAGAGGTCCTGGTCTACTGCCCTCCCTGCCAACATAGAGAAGTCCTAGTCTACTAACTCTCAACACTTTGAGAGATAATTGCCTACCACTTTCTTGAGATCAAGACTGCTAGAAAAGACTAGAGGTTCTTGATTACTATTTTCTCTGACAGTATAAAAAGGTCCTGATCTACCATTAACTGGAAAAAGCTCTTGAGATATCCTGGTCTACCTATTTAACTAGCAATACCACCTTCTCCAGCCCCAGACCATATTAGGGGCAGCCATTTTTTTGCCCAATTCAGTAGGAAAATCAATCTCTTCCCCTTAACTTGATTTACACTGAATTCTTAAGATGATACCGCTGTCCTTGTTACCAATACATTATTATTCCCATTTTTCCACATTTTGGTTTAACAGTACGAAAACTGTTTTCTTACCAAGGCCAAGATAAGACCGATCAACAGGGTGGCTAATACAAAGATGGCATAAGAACCCCAAGTATGAATTCCAAGAGTGCCAGTAAAATAGTTGTGGATTTGCTGTAATAAAAACATAACTTGAATTGAAACTACGGTTCCGTTATTTATCGGCTATTGTGTGGAATGACATTTAAACAATTTATTGGTGATTTCACAAATTCTCAAAAATGTAATTAGAAAAGCATACAATTTCATTTTTACCTGAAGAGGTTTGAATCAGTTTGCACATAAATCATATACAAAATGAACATCCTAGATAAAACTATCATTAGCTATGAACTTCTATAGGTGTTACGTAGTATCAGTTGGGATGAACACCTATAAAACCATTCAACCATTTATATGTAACTGCCCTGAGCATTTGAGGGTTGTTGTTTTTTTAACTACAGATTACTAAGTATTTCAATTAACTTTGATTTTTTTACATTAATTTTCAGATGATATACAGTACAATTTGCAGGTTTTAAGCTACCAACAGCTGTCTACAGAAGCAATTTAATTTATTGAACGAAACATTTTCATGTCTAACTTTTCAAGTGCTGCACACTTAGCAATACAGAAAGAGATTATGCTGATTTTAAAGCTTAAGTACCTACAGAAAAACACATGATCTGTGCATATATATGCAGTAGACTTCTCAGAGTCATGGTGTGCTAGTTTATGTTGTTCTGACTAACATTCTACCTACTGGTTTCCCAGGCTTATAAGTAGTATTATTAGGAATTTATTTCTGAATAGGACTGATACAATTGCCTAAATAAATACAAGTAAACAGCAACTGCATACTTTCTTTTGTATGTTTTAGATTCATAATAATTTGTTTAGCACCTTCTAAATGGAAATTTATGAATTATATACATAATTTAAAATACTGTTTGAAAGAGTTTGTAAATCTGTAGAATGTTTTACCCACATAGCAGAGTATGGAGGGTTGATATGAGACCATGTTGAAATCTTGCATCCCATCATGAAATTTACAATACTTCGATTATTTATCACAATTTGAACTGAGTTTTTAGAAGTAGAAACTTTTTCCATGGTTAAGATTAATCAGCATTAAATACTGATCTATACACTTAATTCAATGCCACGTTAGCAACACAAACTGTATCATTATTGGGGAACATGACAGATTTTTTAAAAGCGTACATCAGGAATAAATTTTTTCTGCATTACTTAAGACACATTTTGCTTACTTACTCTGATCCATCCAGATAAATGGAAGAGTCCTGCCATTCCATACATTCTAATAAGAATCAACATAAACATGATCACTGAAATATAATTAAAGTTTGAAAAGTTTGTACCCATTTGTTCTAGGACTAATATTCTATTATTTCTCATGCTACTTGATCAACAGAGAAAACAATTTTTACTGTCTACGCCAGTGTTTCTCACCCTGTAAATACTGCAACAGCTTTACATGTACTCCATATGTCATCATCACAACCAGTTCTCACTTGTTGCAATTTTTGTTCCCTAAAAACATGGAACTACCACCCAAAATTAAATGCAAAGTAAATATCTTCCTATTAGCTAACTTCCTGAAGGTTTTTCAGAATGTCCATTCTGGAAGCAGTGGACATTTTCTACCAGTAGATGAGGTGGAGCAGAATGAAACAGAAGCTGCCACAATAGGTCACTCTGAAAGTTAGAAAGTGCAAGCAGTATTCAGCTGGGAACTGCTATTTTCAGCTAAGGCTGCATTTAACCTAGGATGAAATTCCAGTCTGGGACATTATAATTACATTAGAGATGAGGGAGACTTCCATCCTGCTACAGGCTCTACAGTTTCCCATTTCCTCTCCAGGATGTAACCCTCTAGATCCTCCAATGTCCTCGAGCCACGATATCTGCGAAAAACTCCATCCTTCGCGCTGAAAACAGATTAAAGTATAGTTATACCACTGAGACGAAAACCTTGTTACTCTACAGTATACAAGAGCAGCAATCGTGCAAATACACATGTTTTACAGAGAACCAAATCCTTTTTATATATCTTTCTCCACATCCTTACAAGTATTATTCCATTGGAGGAACTGGAGGGCAGGGGAAAAAACAGATGCAAACAAGCAAGGGAAGAAAAGAATAAGGAGATGTGTTCAGGGGAAAAAAAGTCCCTTTTATTCTTATTACAACTCAGTCACCTAATTACTTATTTCGGGTAGCTATAATAGGACATGTTTCCTCTGGGCCAACAACCTAACTTGTATTTCAGGTTACCAAAGGATACTGGAGTACATAAACCCAGGAACAGCCTTAATTTACTATCTTGCCCATTTTTCCAATTAATCAAGTAATTTGGTTAATAAAACCCACAGGACCTGATTGCAGGGAGGGACGTTATAGCAATGAGTAGTGAATTCCCTTGTGGTTTGTTTATGACAAATTGCTAGTACCTCACATTACTGCCTCACTTTCCAGTCACAGCAGGCTCACATTATATATATTAAGAATGACAGCAGGAACCTCTCTGTTTAGGTAATCACTTTCTTCTGAAGCTGAAAAATCTTGCTTTCTATTGAGGCTAAATATTACCTGTTTTTCCAATAACACCAGGTGTCCAAAATGCCATCTGTGGAAAATTTCCTTATTTCTTATTAATGTCCCTGTTCATCTGACTTTTTAAATTGCAAAAAATAAAAGTATCTGGACTTTTAAAAATGGGAAGCTGACATATTCCAAAGGAAAGCACTAGTTTCTAGCAACATCTTCACTTCCTAAAATGGATCTGGGTATCAAATGGCCTGCATAAACTTTGTTACACAAGTAACGTTCTGTTTGCAATGTATTTTGTAACTGCTTATGTCCACCAAAACAATTCTATGAATTCTATGAATAGGCAAGGTTCCTGCATCCCAACAACCCTATTTTTCCAAATGCTTACCAACACTCCAAATGCACTCACCAAACCAAAAAAATTGGGGCTCCCTGCAATGAGATAGCCTTTTTTTTTTTTTTAATTCTATGAATAGGCAAGGTTCCTGCATCCCAACAACCCTATTTTTCCAAATGCTTACCAACACTCCAAATGCACTCACCAAACCAAAAAAATTGGGGCTCCCTGCAATGAGATAGCCTTTTTTTTTTTTTTTAAGTTTGTGCTGCTTTCCAAGACTGTAATGGACATATTTTTAGGAGTGCTATTTCCTTAGCTTCATCATGTATTTTACTTTGTCACACATTCAAAAGGACATGTTTTGAATTACAATAGTAAACAGTAGCTATTTTCAGGATAATTAAAGTACATACTTACTGGTAAATAGTGGGAAGAGTAGTGACTAAGAAACGGCCACTTACACCTGAAGAGAATAGATACCTGTTTTAAATAGTGCTTATTATCTTGTTTCTTACACATAAACATCACCTAACAAGTGCTTTATACCTAAGAGCTCATTTTCAAATACTACTCATTGTGGGAGTTGGCAACCTGGAGTCCCATGGCTTCACATGGCTAACAAGAATCCATTCTGTCTCTTTCGGATCCCCTTAACCACGACTGGCAAAAGTGTGAAACATAATTAAGGAAGAGGGCACGCACTGAAGTAAACAAGGGAAAAAGGGAGGAATCCCAAGTGCTAGCAGGAAAGTATTTATTTGCCTCAACTCATTTTAGAAAATGTATTCCCTTTTCAAGGGCCCTTCTAGAATATCCATGAGCAAATTTCTCCCAAGCACACAAGTAAATTAGTTCATGGAGAGTCCAGAAGTACTTTGAAAAAATAATACATTTTCTAAAACAAGTCACACCAAATAAAAACTTTTTTACTGATACTTGGGATTCCTCCCTCTCAAAAATTGTTTTGAGGGAGGAAATGCATAAACTAGCACAAACCCTACAATAGGGTTAATATTGTTTTAAAAAACCCTCTAAAAACAATTAAAAAGTAAGCCCCATGACTTTGCATCGGTGCCCGCCCACTGTACTCCTATGGCTCTAAAAAACTTTTCAAGTTTGGTTCTTTGGCTTTCAAATATTGCCAACTCTGGGGCAAATAGTATAACTACTGAACTGATGATTGCTATCAAGATCTTCTCTTGGAACTTTCTCAAATACGTTCTTAAGAGTGGATAATGAAGGATTTATTTATAATTCTAAAAGTAATCAAGTAATATAACATCCATCCATAGTATATTTTCTTTCGCTTCTAAGAGCAAATAATGGACACATACTTACTGTTTGGAACAGAGAATAAGTGGAAATATTTTTCTATTTGCAAAGTCTAACCTTATGTTCACAATTTATTTTATTGCAAGTTAAATCCTATGGAATTCAATGGAACTTATTAGACATTTGTGAAGTGTCTGTTTTGACTCTAGAGATGTAGAAAAGAAGATACGTCTTCAGAATATTGCATACATTTATGCAGAAGCTGCCTTGATAGATGAATAAAATCATGCATATAGCAACCCTAGCCATTTACCTTGGCTTTATCTCTGCTCCTAATAATCAAGTTATCATATCCATGATAACCTGCTAGTGATAGGCTGATTTGTACCAGCAGCAACAAAATAATCCAGGACATAGGACATACTTAACTGTGAGGCAGCAGCCTTTGAACTGCATACAAAGATATTACCAATACTTCATTATCAGGGCTACCTGCTATAAAATATGTAACTTTAAATCTCTTCAAATTGTAGTTAGTTATGAATCAAGATAGTGCCCACAAAGTTTTTAGCTGATCAAATTTCCTTTACTTCCCTTCAAGACTAATGAGTATTTGCCAAATCTGAAAATCATTTGTAATTTGACAGCAAATCCTACTTCCAAGTATAAATGATTACCCCACTGAAACCTTACCATAGCTGTCTTTCAGTATGAACTTGAAACAAGCACCACACCACACCACACCAAATACAAGAGTTTACATCATGTTTTTTAGAAGCTTGCCTTTTAGAGAATACTGATGATAAGTACCCCAATGTTTACAAGCAGTCCACACCACATACTGAGGTTATTTAATACTTGAGTTATTATACCCTAATGAAAACAACCACTTCGGATTTACAAATGCCTAGTATCTAAACCAGTGTTTCTCAACCATGGCAACTTTATACATGGACTTCAACTCCCAGAATTCCCCAGCCAGCCATATTGGCTAAGGAATTCTGGGAGTTAAAGTCCCCATATTTTAAAGTTGCCAAGGTTGAGAAACACCGATCTAAACCATATACAGTAGTGCTAATTTCTAGAGCAGCTTTAGCCACTATGTCATCATCCAGATTCACTGGACTATATGTCTATAATGCTGACTATCCCCAGTGAGCATGGGTGATGACCACACTGATCTGGGATCCTACCAAGAGTCTACCAGGTTGGGGAAACCTATTCTACATCTGGGCTACTAACATCAGGTTGGATGAATAAGACTTAATATTCTGTTTCCAATTTTAAAAATTGCAATGAAAATCACCTTACTGAAATTGCTTACATTTTTTTTTCTTAGTGATTATTCATTACTTACCTGGTTCTTGAGTGACATCAACCTTGCCCACACTGAGTTCAAGTTCCACGCTATTTCTTGCAAAAGCTTCCCATGCCAATTCCATCTGCTGACAGGCAGGACACCAAGGAGCATAGCTAAAGAAAGTGACAGTATGATATAACCATGAACTGACCTCATTATCTGCTTAGTTGATTTCCAATTTATCAAAATCTATAGGCTTTTGACAACAGTTAACAGGAAAAAAGACAAGGGCAAAACATTTGGAATTCAAAATATTTGGTCCCGAAACCATCCTTCTTTGAGTTCTAAACAAGTTGTTCTGACTTTACCAGAAAAGTTCTGAGTACTCCTAAGTATTCTGAGCATAAAACAATCCATTATGATCTTGGAACACTTTCAAGTTTGGAGAGAGTTGGAACAGTAATTTCAAACTTGAAACACGATGTTTTGAACTCCTAATGTTTTCAGTTTGAAGAATTCTGCAGACTACTAGTGAAAACACAACCTGGATTTGATCTTTTTCTACTATAATACAGCACCACAAAGCAGTAAGAGACCCAATACTATACTACCACTATCATCCTGTTCTCCAAGTTCACTCAGTAATTATGCCAAACAATATTACTTTTTCAACATTTGTTCAATGTCAAAAATCCAATTGCCTCAATTTCACAGATCACTGACACAACAGTGGCAGATGTAAACCTATGAAAACTTTGTCCAAGCTCTACAATCTGCTAATCCAGCACATATACTACCGTAGAACAAATTATATAGGGCGTGCAAAATGTTTTGAACTCAAAATAATTGTCTTGAATTGGAAACAAGTTGTTCCAACCTTGCTAGAAGTGTTCTGACACTGGTCCAACCAGGTTACAAACTCAGAGTATTTTAGGACAGTCAGGACATTTCTAGCAAGGTCAGTGCTGCTGTTTTGAATACAAAACAGAATGTTTCAAGCTCAAAACATTTTGAACTACATCCTGAATCTTATATAGGTAGTACTTGACTTACAACCACAATTGGGACCGGAATTTTGGTTGCTAAGCGACACAGTTGTAAAGCGATACATCACATCACCACACCACTTAGTGACTGCAATCCTGGCAATCCCATTGCTGTCGTTAAGTGAATTTTACCGGTCATTAGCTGAGTACCCACCCCAATCCAAGCCATTCCAGGTTTGGTCCCTTCCAGCCCCAAGCCTCAGTAAGGTAAGAGACTGCCTTCTACTCCCCCCACCTGCCTATCTCCCACACATCTCTGCCCTTTTGGCCACCCTGCACCCTGTGTTGCAGGGCAACAAGCAGCCCCAGAAGCATGTGGCTCTGAGGCTGCTTGCCACAACCTGGGAAGCCACAGCCACCCTAGCTCAGTCCCTCACCACCTTCCACTCTGAAACCCCTGCCACCCTGTGCTCCACTGACCCAGCTGACCTTTGCCGCTGTCTTCTTGCTCCTACTGCTGATAAGGCATGCCTGGCCTGGCTGCTGGGCTGTATGGGGCTGGCTTTGCATGGCAAAAAAGGAGAAAAAAAAGTCAGCCCCAGCACCTTTGCAAAGAGCTCTTGGGTAGGGCTGGGGCTGGCTCTGCACTGCGAAAAAAGGGGGGAGGCTTTTTTTCCCTTTTTCGCAGCACAAAGCCAGCCCCATATGGCCCAGGAGCACGGCACAAAGAGGAGTTTTGGCGTGCTGCAGTCCCTTTAAGCTGCTTTCTGCATTTTTTTTTTTTTTTGCCATGCCCTCCAACAAGGTTGGAACACAATTAGAAAACTGAGCAACTCAACAGCACCACAGTATAATACCCAACTAATCAGTGCAGCAATTGCTCTTAAAATTCTCACCAAAAAAAATCAGTATCTAACACCAGCCAATCTGGTGCAGTCACTTTCTATAATGTAACCTTTCAGGAATAGAGACTAACTTTCTAGGCAACATTTTTAATAACTTACATTATTTTATAAAAATTTTACTCTGACCAAGAAGGACCCAACCAAAGGAAAAAAGTACATTGCAGAAGATGCACACTTACAGTTATTCTACTAGACATATATTTATGGACAGGAGATCCACCTTCACAGTCAATTCACAATCAGTGCAGAGTTTCTCATGTGAGAATTTTATACTGTTGCATATCAGGCAAGGACATTGTGCGATGTTCCAATCCCCAAATAGGCCATTCAATGTGTTCCATGTTTCACAGAATGTTCCATGACAGAACATTTTGCAAACCCCTCCCGCAGCTGTTTTAACTGCTAGTTTTCAGCTGAAACACCTAGGGCTTCCTAAATTATAAAGTACATCATCTTCTAATTCTGACAGCTAGTTTCATAATATTTTAACAGTGTCTTCAAATCCCCAGCTTACTTCGCATTATTTCCAACTTGTTGCAATTCCACAAAAAATATTAGGCCAGAAGCCATCAAAAGATTATCTATTCATGATATACAGTAGTGCATTCATTTGTTCTTCTATATTTCATTTCACAAATCTGTTCCTCATTCATATGATACCCTGAACCACATCAGTTAAAGTCCTGGGTAGTCTGAGCATTTGTGTTAAGGAAAAAAAAAATTAGTTGTGGGATAACTTAGTATTTCATCCAAGTCCAAAGGAGAGGGCTAAGTTGAGGTTAACATTCTTTCTCTTTAAATGGTATTCCTCTTTTGCTTTATACCCATAGTATTCAAACTGTGAACTGAAGTAGCTCTTGGTTTCTTCATCTGTCTGGCAATGGATCACCAGTGAGTTATACAGAGCAGAGTCAGATTGTTTATTATTTGATCACGGTGTCTTTTACATTAAAGACCTAAAGTAAAGGCTATTTTTTTTTTGTCTGCAAGTTTTTTTTTTCATCTGATAAAGCATATAATTTGTGTAAACAAAAAATTAGCTGTGCTAAACGCAAAAAAGGCTGACGGTTGCTACCTAATAGTCTGTACATATTTTTCAAAAGGAGTATTCAGTATATGAGTCAATGCACAGGAAGCATATTTTTTCCCAGCTTATAAAAGAAGCCACGTCTTGTCCAACTTCATGGATCTACTATAGAAAGTGCCCTTGGCTGTCATTACCTGCCCATGCACGTGCAGCCATTCTGCATTTTTCCTAGGAAGCAAATTGGCTGTTGATGTACATGCCTATAGAAGGCAATGTACGCACTTGTCTTTTGAGGCAGCCTTGTAAGGCTGGAAAAAATACATGTCTGCCTTAATGATTCAGAAAAAGATGCTTCATACACACTGCCACTTTTCAAGCATCCTACAGAAAATCAGTTACAAAAATGGCAACAGAAGTACTAGAATACTATAGTTTGCTGTTTCTGAATTACATATGCATGACCTACTTAATCCAATTTGTGGGTTGCCACAAGAGCAATTCTAACCTACTTCTTCAGGCAATTATTGTGAGCTTCCCAGAGTCACCCATTGGGGGAGATGGGCGGCATACAAATTTGAAAAATAAATAAATAAAATAAATAAATATATGCTCATCCTTATCAGTAGTGATTCATAGCAATTCAGGGACTGTAGGGCTAATCCCTTAGCCTGAACTGCATTTCTGCTTTCTTCTTTTTTTCCTTTCACCATATTCTTCCCAAGCGTATCTATGATAATAGAAAATAATAACCACATTCACACAACACCCTAGACTAAGTTAAAGTGATTTGTGGATTCAGTTTGTTGTGCAAATTCAGCCATTGTCTTAGAACATTTTGAGAACTAGGCCATCACATTATGTCATAATATGATTTGTTTGGGCAGAGCAAGCTACATATATGCAGCAATTCATTAGCCAGGGTTTAGCATATTGTACTAGGTGTCTTTTAGCATGTTGTATTAAGTCAATACCTTGCAGCGGTACTAGTGCACGGACACTCAAGTTCTTTGAACAAACGACAACTGCAGGGCTCCCCAAACAGAATGGCTAAAGGCCTGGAATTCTATGAGCTGCCTTATTAATATATTGGGGGGCACCAGATTGAGGACAATTGGGCTTAATTAAACCCCAAGTCGGAAAAGGCTTAAACCATAAAAGCTTTGCAAAACGAAAAACCATACCACCTTAAGTACTTACCTGCATTAAGTAAAAAGTCAACTCTCCAAAGTAGGACGGATGAACTAGATTTATGAGCTCCGCCTGATTTAAGGGATTCACAAGCGCCGGGCAACAAACAGCGCCGATCAAGCTAGAAAGGGCCCTCCACATTTGTCGACCAAGGCGAACGCCCCGAAGTAAGGGCCACGCCAGACTATCCGGACTTGCTGCGGGGGTCCTCTACACTGCCTTGCCTGCAATGTATTAGCCAAGCCGGCTAGGGATGATGGTGGCTGTAGTCCACACTCCCTCTAACGCCCTAACAGGGAGAAAGGCGGCTGGCCGGCTCTTCCGTTTGCATTCCCTTTCGGAGCCCGCGCGCGCCCTTTCCGACCCGCCTTGGCTTACTCACAATTCCACCATCCACTGGCCCTGCAGCAGGAGGCTCCAGTTGGACCCGGTCAGCTCCACCACGCGGCTCCCCACCGGCTCCGGTTCCGGCTGCAGGGAAGCCACAGCCGTAAGGAAGGACGCCAAGCCGGCGGCTCCCCACAGCATCACTAGCAGCGGAGCTCTCCCCTCCTTCCTCCAGCGGCTGCACCAGCAGCGACTTGCGAGGGGAGCCGCCGCCATCTTGAACAACTAGGAAATCAAACCACCGCCGCCAAAGGAGCCGAGAGCGGCGGGACGGCCCGGCGGCCGCCTTTGCTTCCGGTTCGATGCGACAGCTCCCACCATGTGCGGGGTGGAAGAACCGCGGCGGGAATGGGCAATACGGACATACCGCTGGGCAATCTAACTTTTCAGCCCAATGCGCGCGTCTTGGAGGGCGATACGGCAGCCTTTGGTTCTAGCTGTATGTTAATACTGTACTGTAACATACTTTTAAAAACAACGCACGCCTTTCTCAGGACCAATAGTGTAAAAAACTATTGAAATGATAATAGTCATTGTTTTTAAAAAAGAATTTAAACCGAGAAATAATGATGACTGATACAAACGGGGCAAGACGCTTGGCTAAAATCTGACGGATTGGCTTCTGGCTCACCAGCTGTGCAAACCCGAGGGATTAATTTATGCAGCCGTGGGTCGGGCC